TTGGTTAGCCCGGTGATGGGTATTAAGGAGGGCACATACTGCATGGAGCAATGGGTGTTATACGAAAACAATGGATCGTGGATCACCACATCAAAAACCAAAGATGTATGGTGACTAACATAACATAATAAAATTAAAAAATAAATAAATACCTTCCGCTGCGGGAGCCATTGAGGAGCAGCAGCCATGGCTCTGCGCTACTCTATGGCCGTGGGCCTCAACAATGGCCACAAGGTGACTAAGAACGTGAGCAAGCCGAGGCACAGCCACCGCCGCGGGCGCCTCACCAAGCACACCAAGTTCGTGCGGGACATGATCCGAGAGGTGTGCGGCTTCGCCCCCTACAAGCAGCGGGCCATGGAGGTGCTCAAGGTCTCCAAGGACAAGCGTGCCCTCAAGTTCATCAAGAAAAGGGTGGGGACACACATCCGCGCCAAGAGGAAGAGAGAGGAGCTGAGCAACGTCCTGGCCGCCATGAGGAAAGCGGCAGCCAAGAAGGACTGAACCACCCCCCCGCCACCATGTAATAAAGCCTTTTTGGGAAAAAAAATAAATAAATAAAATAAATAAATAAATAAATAAATAAATAAATAAAAATAAAACCCAAAACTTGGGGTGCCTGGGTGGCTCAGTCGGTTAAGTGTCTGACTCTTGATTTTGGCTAAGGTCATGATCTGAGGGTCGTGAGTTTGAGCCCGGCATCTGGCTCCGTGCTGGGTGTGGAGTCTGTTTAAGATTCTCTGTCTCCCTCTCTCTGCCCCTCTGCCCCACTTCTCTCTCTCTAAAAAGCAAACAAAAAAAAAACCCCCAAACTTGTTGTTTACTGTCACTATTTTTTCAGTACTGTTTAATGGAAGCATTTTCCAAGGGTCTGCTATGTAAAGTTAGTTTTATTTATTGTTGTTAATTATTATACTTATGCTATCATAACTTAAAAACTGTAAAAGAGAATTATTGCTTGTCATTCATCTGAAGCAGCTCAGTTTTCATGTTACTATTTTTCCTGTTGTTGAGGAATTTTACTTGCTACCGCTTTGAAGAAGTAGCTATGATGAGAGAAGGGTTTGTTGGGAAAATCTGTAAGAAGGAGGGGCAATTTAAGTTTAAAATTTTGCTGGAGACTCACTGCCTCCAGAATTCTGAGTTTCAAATGACCTTTTGTTTCAGGGTCAGGAAACAGGTTAGATGATAGCTAAACTTTGAAATCACACATTTAATCTGTGACTTAGTAAATTCACATGCGGCTAATCCACAATTGGTTTTATATTTTTTGTTTTTGCAACATGAACATTTTTTTTTTAGTTCATGCATAAACTACTTAAATCAATACATTTCAGTGGAAACATGAGGCAACTGAAATTTTCTGCCCCAAATTGATATGTAATTGATATAATCCATTGATAATTGATTTTTGTAGTCATGTATGGATTTGAAATTATTTTGCTGTAGAGAGTATGACTGCTTTAATATTTTAGACTTTGAAACATATGAAGCATTTTGTAGACATGAGGTACACATGCTGTTATAAAGATGCACAAAGCCAAGTGTCTGAAGTAAGGAACAGAATTAAATCATGAATAATTTACAAATTGAAATAATATAGTCTGTCTTGGTCTTTAGAAAGTAGGAGTAATGCTTTGATAAAGCCAAAATAATTTTGTAAGGTATGGGTTAAAGGCAAAATTTGGAAGCCAGAGTAGATTGCATTTTATATAATAATTTTAATATTTAAATCAAAACTTTTATGCTCTTATACAAGGGAACACCTTATTTCTACCAGAGAGCCCCCCCTTGAATAGGGGGAATCCTTTTAACTTTAATTTTACATTTATTCTCATCTTTTGCTCTCATTTGGATCTGTTTTGGTGAAACCTGGTCGAAGTCCTCAGAAAGGTGAATGTATAAGAAGAAATTGAACTGAGCCTGGCCCCCTCTCTTAGGTCTTTCTGGAAATGAAGAGGAAGGAGAGAAGAACCTTTTAGAGAGAGTCACTTGATAGATAAGTGGCCAGTGGGAGATTGTTGAAGGGAAAGAATGATTGTAAAATAGAGTCATGATCCTAAAGAGGATAATGTGGGAAAGAACACAAGACCATACTCTTTTTGTTTCTAGTGCTACCCTTTCTCATCTTCATGAACCTCAATGATTTTGTGTTCTAATCACATTGTTTTTTTCAGTCTGTCTCTGCAGTGATGTTCACTCCAAAGGAAATGAAATGAAAGGAAGTGTTGGCTGCTGGCTTGGAGACAGTGGTGGCCAGTCATTAGAGGACAAAGCTGGTTAAGTGAACTATGGAAAAATCACCAAAATATTGGTAAGAAAGACCCATCAGAGAGCAGTGTGAGGGTGAAGGGCAAGAGCTCTGTCTCCTGATGGATATGGGGGCAGAGAAGGATGACAGGAGAGTTATGGTAGGCAGTCCAGAGATTTCCCAGTTGTCAGGCTCACGTTCAGAGAGTGGACATGGCACAGGCATGTCTGATAATGAAAAGCTAGTCAAGGAGACTTTTCAGGGGATCAGAAAGCCTGGCTGATAACAGAAAATGGGGGGGGGCAGGGTTGGTGAGATGGAGGTGTTTCTTTTACAGGTATATAGGACATACATTGGCCAAGAAATCCAGAAACCTCCAGCTTGTATGCTAAGTGGGGTGTGTGTGTGTGAGAGAGAGAAAGAGGTCATCTTTCTAACAACCAGAATACTAGCATATTTTATGGCAGCCATTGATTGTGCTTTCTACTCATTATCTTATTTGGTCCTCTTCACAGCACTGTGAGGTAAATGCTGTCATATCCATCTTATAAATGAGGAAACAAGCTTGGAATGATGAAGTAACTTGCCCAAACTCATACAGCTAGTAACAGATGATACTGGGATTTGAACCTATGCTCTTAATCAGTAGGCCATGCTGAAAGCAAGGCAGTAGGCTTATTTATCAATAAGCCTCCAAGAAGGCTTCTGTAACCATGCTTCCCTCCCCTAGTTTGGATTATATGCTTCTCTTCCTTGTTCGGAGCACCTTTTGAAAACCCTATTTCTTAACAATATGTTATTTGGTTTGTTTTACTCTCTCTTCCATAATATTCCAAACCTCTCAGGGGTATTCTTTATGTCTTATCTAGGGCTCAAGTGTTAATAATTGTTATATCTCCAATACTTAGCATAGTGCCTGGCACATAATACACACTCAGTAAATGTTTATTGATATGTGATGAATTGATAAAGGAATATGATCTTTAAACAATTTTCCGTTACAAGATTGTGGAATCTTATGGGAAATTTTTCCAGATACCCACATGAAAGCACATGAGACTGATGAATTAAAAATAAAATATAAGTTCAAACCATCATTTTATAAATGTGTGCTGATTGCCTCAAGGTCATCATCATGTTGTATTGTCCAATCCCCGTTGAAATAAATAGAGATTACTGCATTTGCTAAAGTAAAGTTTTATGGTTTTAAAGTAATAATCATATTAAAAATAGATATATCACCTTTCAGTATTTTTGTACTTATACTTGGTACATTATTTACAACTAATGAACGAATTTTGACTGCTTAGGAAAAATGCTATTGTACGCCATAGCAGAGAGCAAAATACCTGACTGTAAGAATTTGGGGAAGTTAAATGAATCTTGCAATATTGCTTTCTATATTTTTAACATAGTTCCACAGCTGACATTTATTTATTTATTTATTAATTTATTTTTAAGATTTTATTTATTTATTTGACAGAGAGAGAGCACAAGCAGGGGGAGTGGCAGAGAGGAAGAAGCAGGCTCCCTTCTGGATGCGGGGCTTGATCCACCTGAGCCACCCAGGCGCCCCAACACAGCTGACATTTAATAAAATTATTCTGAACAGATTTGCAAGTGGGTCATAGAAAGGTTTCTTTCAAAGATCTTGATTTTGTAATACTTTATTTGCTGTATATATATGGAGATTATATGTAGGTGATGTCTGTCTTAGAAATTAAAGTCACTAGGGGTGCCTGGGTGGCTGAGTCATTAAGCGTCTGCCTTCAGCTCAGGTCATGATCTCAAGGTCCTGGGATGGAGACCCGCATCGGGCTCCCTGCTCAACGGGAAGCCTGCTTCTCCCTCTCCCACTCCTCCGCTTGTGTTCCCTCTCTTGCTGTGTCTCTCTCTGTCAAATAAACAAATAAAATCTTTAAAAAAAAGAAATTAAAATCACTAAAAGATTTTCTGAAGACAAACACTTTTTCATTTATAAATTTGGTAAATTTGACAGTTGGGTATGTGAAAACCTGGTCACTAAAAATCTATATTATTTAAAAATGATTTGGATATATTTTCAAATATACTTTTGTTTTTAAAAACAGCAAAATAATTAGATGGAAAATACTATAATATTTGCTGTGGAGAAACAAAATTTTGTGGATTTATGAATGAAAATGTGATTAAATATTCTGGATTCTTGCAAGAAAGCAGAAAGCTGTGGATTACATTTTTTTAAAGTTTTTATTTAAATTCCAGTTGGTTAACATACAGGGTTATATTCGTTTCAGATGTACAATATAGTGATTCATCACTTCCATACATCACTGGGTGCTCCTCATGAGAAGTGCACTCCTTTGTCCCCATCACCTATCTCACCCATCCCCCCACCTTCCCTCTGGTAACCCTCAGTTTGTTCTCTATAGTTAAGAGTCTGTTTCTTGGTTTGTCTCTCTCTCTCTCTTTTTTTTTTCCCCTTTGCTTGTTTGTTTTATTTTTTAAGTTGCTGTGGATTAAATTTGTTTGTATAAATTTAACTTCTCAACTGGTAAATTAATTTTCCTCCTAGGGATGTATTTAATGTCTTATCTTAGATATTTTACTAAATAAAGGAGCTCAATGATAAAATAGTACAATTAACAAAGGTAAAATATGATAGTTAAATTTAGAGACAGTGGGTGGTCAGTGAGTAGAAATGTACAATCACGTAATTCTAAATTTTTACATCTGGCAGCCAGAATTTTTAGTTTAAAATTTAGAAAGACAATTTTTAAGAGAGCTGGAAAATACCCACGTATGTTTCTTCACAATTATGGGGCTCAAAAGAACTTTAAGTGTATTGTATACAGTGTCCAATCTGTCATTGTAGGGCCCATTAATTAAATTGTTTTTCTTTTTTACAATAGGGTTTTTTTTCCCCCAAACAATGTTTAGTTATTAATAAACAACTATTTAAATGATAGAAACATTGTTTTCCACAAATTTATGTATTTGGCGCTCATTGTTTTATAATATTTTAAAAGCATATTTTCTTACAAATATACTATATTATCATACAGTATATATGTAGAATTTGCTGTGGGGACTGATACATGTTTACTCACTAGGACAGAGAGGAAAGAAATATTCCATACCTGAGCAGTGCTAGTAGTTTCTGGTATTATCTCATTTCTCAGAAGATAACTTCCTGTTAGAACATGTTTGTTTTTAAAAAAGCAAATAAATAAAATGAAAAACAATTATTATGAAGAGACTTGTGATATTTGTGTTAAGAAGAGACAGTCTTTATCTCTGATAAGTAGGGTACATAAAAAAAAATCAGAAGATTGGCTATGAAAAGAAGACAATTTTAAGGAGCTCTAGAGGAAAAAAATGCTTTCAACTATTTACAAAATTCTTAAAACATAAAATGATGAATATGGTGGGCTAAGCCTTTACTTGCTTTATATCATTTGATCATAACAATAAAGCAATTATCTTCTCTTAAGATGGGGAAATTGAGGCTTAGGTCTTGTAGCTTCCTCAAGGTCACACCCCAAGTGGCAAAGTTACTTTTACAGAGTTTACTGTTTAAGGGGGAATATAAGCAAATAGTTACAATGAAGACATGTGTGCAATAGATATATGTTACAAATAGGACTAGCATAGTGTTAGGAAGCATCTAGCAAAGGTATTAAATCCTGATCCAGTGCTCAGGCAGACCCTTCCCAGAAGAGTTAAGATTCACTAGAAATGAGAGGGAAGTCAGGATCAATCTAGTGAAGTAAACAGAACATAAGATTCATTGTCCTAGTTGGGACACTACTGAGCCTGAAAGGGAGGCCAATATTAACCATGTTTGTACAACAGAAATAAACAACCATCCTGGGCAAACCAGAATGTGTGGCAGTATAAGGAGTTTGGTCTTCATTCTAGAAGCCTTCAAGAACACTGAAGGATTTTATAAGGAATAACATGAACAGGTTTATGTTTTGGAATACTGAGACTGATAGTGGAAAATGGTTGGAGGAAACCTGTAGATTATTTTAAGAGGCTGTTTCAGTAACACAGGATAGTGATGATGGTGGCCAGAATTGGATAGTATTAGACTAAAGGGAAATGGCTTAAGTTCAAGTGATATTTAGGATGTAGAATCATTAGAACTTGGTGTGTAATTGGATATGGGTATAGAGGGAGACATATTAATTGGATGTATATTGTAGTGGAGGGAAGGGAAGTCAAGGATGACACTGGATTTCTGGATTAACAACTTGAGTGAATGGTGGAGCCATTCACTGAGATGAAGAATATGGGGAGGAGTGAGGATGATGATGAATTTACTTTTGTTCAGTTTTATATTTGTTCATTTTTAATTTTATTGATTTTTAAAATTTTGAAACAATAAAAAATGTATAGAAAATTTGCAGGCACAGTACACAGACCATTTTTTTTCCAAAACCATTTGAAAGTAACTTGCCAGTATGATGCTCCACCACTCCCAAATACTTTACTATGTATTTCCTATCAGTAGGGACATTTTGCCTGCTTAACTATAATACAACCATAAAAATCAATGATGTTATACATTACTTCTATCTGATTCTCAAATCCCAATCAAGTTTGCCACTTACCTCAATCCTGTCCTTTAAAACAGAAGGATATAGTTAAGAGTCACTTGTTGGATATAGTTGTAATACCTCTTTAGTCTCTTTTAGTCTCTTTCAGTAGGAGGCAGCAATAAAATTTTTTCTAGTCTTCAGTGACCTTGACATTTTGAAGATTACAGACCAGTTATTTTCTAGAATGTACCTCTGGGCCTTTTCCAACTACAGAGAGTAGGGCATCTTTTGTATGAAAAAATTAACTTCTTTCAATACACCTGGAATGGTTTTAATTATGTACTATTCTTGAGAGAGTTGCAAAAATGGTCACTGTGTTCTTTCGTTCATTTGAAAAAGACTGAATTAATAGAGTTTGAGAGGAATACCTCAAAAGTGATGCTGTTTTCTCCTCATTGAATCCTATCAGATGACACAGAGTTTTGATTTGTCCCATTACTAATGCTCACTTGATTAAGGATGTGTCTCTTAGGATTCTCAGCTATTTAGTTTTTTTGTTCTCTGTTGGTAATTAGTAAGTATTTTGTAGGGAAGTTCTCTAAGACTTTGCAAATAGCCCATTTCTCATTAAACTTCCAATTTACTCATTTATTTATTTATAGTAATAGTGATTAATATGGGTCTTAATTCTTTACTGTCATTTATCTTGGTATTCAGATTGTTCCTAATTTAGCTAGTGGAAGACCTTTGCAGATGGTTTATGTTTTCTCTTGACACGTCTCCATTACTTTTTTTTTTTTTTAAGATTTTATTTATTTATTTGACAGAAAGAGAGCACAAGCAGGGGGAGCAGGGAGAAGCAGGCTCCCCGCTGAGAGCCTGACATGGGGCTCGATTCTAGGACCCTGGGATCATGACCCGAGCCTAAGGCAGATGCATAACCCACTTAGCCACTCAGGTGCCCCCCATTACTTTTTATTTGTTTCTTTCTGGCATAAGATATGAACAAGGTCATCTTGTACTTTCTCTACCCTAGCCCTGGAATTAGCCATTTTAGCCCTGAGTAACATTTAATGGAGAATAACATTTAATGGAGAATAACATTTAGAAGACGAAGTCTGGGCACTAGGTGTGTTCTTTGCTTTTGGAGTGTGGTACTTTGAAGTTTTTCAGTGGAGAGAGCTAAGATATATATGCCTGTATATATGAATGTCCAGATATTTGCATTTCATCTATCCATCTCTCTATTAAACCATGAATGTATAGTGGTAGCACGAGTTTTAATCTAGCACCTCAGGGTTTATTCTAATTTTCTCCCTTTCCATATAAGTAGCCCCCTTCCTTGCTGCTGAGAAAACTGGCTCCCATTGGCCTAATTGGGTTACTTATTTTCCAAATCCTTCTGTGTGTAATCAGCCTCTCCTTTCCAATGCTATCCTCTCTCCTCTGTAGGTGCACTATCGCCCTGTACAGGCTGTGTCATCCATACGAGACTGCTCTTCTGTGTGAACAGATCCTCACCCTACTCAGGCTTGGCCACTGTACTGACCTTTGTGTGGAGACATTTCTACCCAGGTGGTATCAGGTGGGCTCCCCATTTCTAACTCCTTCCACAGCAGGGTAGATATGCGATTA